GTCTGAAATTATAGTTTAGGTATGATCTTGTAGAGAATTTGGCAGCGCATCTTTTAAAAAAGACATCAAGTCTCGGAAACAAATTCAAACCAAGTTATAAGCAAAATACTGAGAGGGACATTATTTATGGCCCACCCGTTAGTGTATTGCAGTAAGATCCCTAGTGAAAATGCTGAATGCCGAGTATTCAGTTACTTGGAAATTTTCAAAAGTAGCTTGCTTAGGCACTTGTGAAGTGTTTCTAGATTTAATACGTGCTAGATGCTTGAAAGAACTTTGGATACTTGCATACATTTCGCAAGTATTTACCAAATTACCTGTCAACTCCTTCATGATGTACTTATCAGCCAATCTGGTTTATTAATTTACTTGATAGGTACCGTTTTTACATGCAAAGAGCTTCAGGTACTCTGGACATTATGTAATGTACTTTTGTACAAGCACTTGGACAAGAACTTAATACTTAGATAAGTAGTTCTACATAAGATCAGCATTACATTTTGAATGTAATTATGGTAATACAACGTCCATCAAAATTTTGATAATTCAATGCAGCACTATAACTGGAAATCGAAAAATAATAGCATTGCTGAATGATTACTAAACTTTAGTGAAAGCTTGATCCGCTGTTTCTTCATAGTTGCTCGTTTTTAACCCGACAAAGGCTCCGTGGAAACTAAAATAAAAATCACGCCACTTTTTTGAAGGATAGTAGAAAGTGTGACTTTCTAGATCAATATTGTCTAGTAGCTCATAAATGAAACCTTTTTATGTACAAAGAGAAATAATTGAGATTATTAGATTAAGCGAACAGCTGCTCAAATACAACTAAGTATTTTGTTAATCAGTGTGCACACACAAGGTAGACGAACGATGAATTGACATGGAATGGTACGACAATTGTAGTGAAAATGATGATAATTATTTTTCCACACTTTGGACCGAGGTAGATATATAAACATATGCACTGTCACTCTAGTTATCAAGTAGTTGCTTTTAGCTTTAAAATTTTGATAACACACAGTTCATCACGATTATTGACTTTAGTTTAGTTAGCACTTCATTGTATGCTAACGTGTTTTTCGAAGAGAAGTTGTCAACAATTATAGTCTGACTAAGAAGTAGTATTTTGATGAGAGCGCTTTCTTTATTAGTGAACGTCACGTGACGATATCTGTTCTCCTCTCCGACAAAACAACAGTGTGTTTCACAAATGGAAGTTGATTCTGGCACAGCTGATTGTCTATCTCAAATAGTAAAATTACGTCAGCGTTTATGCCGCCTAATTAAGCTTGGTGAATCTCATGCTCATTCGAAAACTCGAACAGATGTGACATCCATCCTAGAAGAAAGTGTAAGAAGTTTATTTTCAAACTCTATGAATGTCGATCAATTTATTGTGCATGTTGAACAAATTTTAAATGTATCAATTCGAATAAATCTCATTGATTTTTTTCGACAAACCATATCAAAAGCACACGATTATCTCAAAAAATCTCAGAGTCCTTTAACATGGGATGAATTCAAACACATGCAACTTGAACCAGATACGAAACAATATCAACAAAATAAAAGAATACAATGGCACAATAAAATCGAGCCTAAACTTGTAAGGTCGCCGTTTTGATTGAACAGCAAAATGTTAGATATGTCATTTTTCTATGCTGCTCAATTTTTAATACTAAATTCTCCGTAAAAGTACGAGACTTGAATAGCTGTATTAAAATGTTATACCATAAGAAGCATGAAAGCCACACAAATAAGGAGTTATTTGTACGGAAAATTTTCAATATTAACGAAGAGTATATACGTTTTTTCCCCATTTCACTTAGAATCCTCCAAATGTGATACGAACGGATGCCGTTGACTTGATGCCAAATGCTGTAAACTCTCCGCTTTCAATTACGGCTCCTTATTCATCAATACATTATCAAAATCCAATCGTACCGACTGTGAATCTTAATCAACAACAATATTTGTATCATCCAAGGCCATTTCAGCAGCAGTCGATGCCATCTCAAATTGCAATTTCAAATTGGCAACAAGCGTTACTCTATTCTTCCTCTTCTACATCTAATCATAAACAATTACGACAGTTAAATAATCAACCATTTAATTATGTCGTTGATACACCGGAAATTGTGGAAATTAAAGATAATAATAGTGCAGAACAAACACAACTTGATAGTAACAGATTTCATCGATGGCTGATGAGAAAATTAGGTAATGAGAAAATCTAAATAGTCGAGTTTGCTTGAAAAATCTCATGTTATTGAAAGAAGTTTAATAACCCACTGTATCTAAATCTTCTAATGTACCTTTATTTAGCTTTAAACATGGAGAAACGTTTTCAGATCAGCGCTATTCAAGAGCAAGCGGTTCAAATTATTCTCTCTACATTACATCAATTATTACTCTATCTGTTACAACGTTTAAAACTCTATACCAGTCATCGTGCAAATTCTCAAATTCTGTGTCAAAATCCCAGCTATGTTGAACAAACCAACGTGCGGGAACAAATGCGATTTTTATCAGAAATTGCGAAACTACAACGAGAAGATGAAGAAGTTAATGAGCGAAGGAAAATGTTTCGACAAGGAAAGCAATATTCAACAACGGTGGGTAGGAATGATGATCATATACAAGGTAAGATACATAAATACATGAATAAAATCTTATCCTGTTTTTTTTTGCGTCTTTAGCTGATGAACGACGTCATCGTACGCGTGAATATAAACGCGCAGTCATTGAAGAACTACGACAAAAAGAAGCAGATGCTACAGCGTGCCTCGTATTAAAACAAAGTCGACAGAAACGAACATTACTAACGGGAGTGAATGACGACGAAGAAACAAACGTCACTAAACCAAAACGTCTATTGAGAGCAAATTTACAGGATTTAATATCGATTATGGAAAATGAACGATTATTCAAACGTTCAAAACTACTTTTATATGCTTATTTCAAATAGATTTATGTCAAAAATTTTGATGAGTTAGTATATACACATTTTCATCGGTGAGGTTAGACATCATAATAGATTAAGATAAATAGTTCTTTCTTTTACTAAGATGACTCTCTTCTTTAGCCCTAAAATAGAACACATTTGTTTTGTTTGTATAAATAAACGTGTTTCTGTTTCCATACAGTGATCATATTTCACTCTTTTTGGCATGCACGTACGACTTCGTCTGTCCTATTTTACTAAATACACACACAGAGACACGCATAGTAAACTGAACATTCCATTCCATCTACATTAGATATAGAAAACCTATATAGTAAAATTTTGCTGCCAGCAATAGTCTATGTATGTATATTGCACATCGACCGACTTTTCTCTTTTTTTTATTATTTTCCCTCTCATTTCGTTTAATCATTTCGCGATGATGATGATGCAGATGTACTGTCTACATCTGACCGAAAAAAGAAGAAAATTCTTTCGACGGCAACAGAAAATTTTTCCTTTTCTTCTGTTGTGCTATTTGAATAGTGAATATTCTGTTTTTGACACGCCCCACACTTTTCCCTTTTTTTTTCTCTCTACTTTTCGATAGTACTTTGAGATATCCATCTATGTAGCTTGTGTATGCATAAGATAATTTTTTCGCTAAACGAATAGAAAATACTTCTCAAACTCATTTCTTTTTTCTTATGTATATAGTGCAATTAAACTCGAAAATATTCCGTCGTATAGTGTTGTAGAATCTATAATAACTGTAAAAAAAAGATAATATTCTCATTTCGTTCCAAGATTATATATGCAGATAAATGATGAAAAGAACAATGTGTGAACTCTCTAGTAAAGAAACATCCGTCCATTTTCTCTTTCTTTTGTTTTTTTTTTCTAGTTCTCTTTCTATATTTGTCATCGGTTTCGATCCATTAGTAGAACTTCTGTTTTATGCTGATGTTTCGTTTATTTTACTACTATATAGAAGGAAGTTCAAACATTATTTTTTTGTACATTCCTCTCTATTTTGCCAGACTTATGTTTCCTTCTCTTTTTATTATTTTTTTTTTTTTAGCAAATATATACACCATTCGAATACATGCACACATCATTTTTATCTATTGTGTTTCCCATTCGTTTTCGCGTTTTTCCAACATCGTTTTTCTTCTTTTTTTTTTTTCTCGCTCTGTTTCTGTGTTTGCACAAGTAAAACGACGTGTTCTCATATCAAAAAGAATGAAAAAAAGACTAGAAAGACATACATTGTACACATTGAACATGGTGACGAATTGATTTTTTTTAGTTTTCAAAAAATAACACATACAAAAAAAAAAAGTAGAAAAAAGTAGATTTTAAACAACAAAAAAAAAAAAAAAAAAATTTCGGCCGTGGGGGCATTCTTTCCTCCCACTTTTTTTTTTTTTCATCTATTATAAAAAAAAAAAACCTGAACTGTATGTGTGTGTTTCTTTTTGAAACAGATATATATGCAGACTTTTTTTTAAACTCAAAGAAAAAGAATGTAGGATGTCTACTGCGACGACTGAAAAAAATCTGAACTGAACACTGCACGTTCAAAACGTCAATCAATCATCAAAGAACAACAGTGAGAAAAAACAGGTAATTTATTGTTTTATTAAAATTATTCATATTTTTCATTAGATTTGTATAAATCCATCGATTCAGTATTTTTTTGATCGAAAATTGTTTGTGTCATATTTTACGTTTTCTTCTTGTCTATACCAGGGACAACGTTCCATCAGTAGGATTTGTGAGATCTAACTTTTCGACTAAATTTTTTTTTTACTCAAATTTCTCAAAAAAAAATTTTCATTTATCTTATTCTTTTTCTTGTAAAATTTTCGAAAATATATTTTTTACTATCCTTTCAACAAAAAAAAAATGCTGAAATTGTTGATATTACATATATATGTTGATACAATCAGTGATATAAAGTGTTTCTGAGAATCGAAAGAGAGATAGTATTTTTGAGGCTAATCTTATATATTTTAGATAATATCACCTGTATAAGATTATTTTTGGGTGAGTGTTGTCTCATTGCATTTTTTTCTCTTCAAAAACTTAAAATATTAACAGAAGAAGATTTGTCTGTCTTTTTTTTTTGTATGAAATATTTTTTATCTACGACTTTCTTAAATCCAAAACAAAACAAAAGAGAAGTAGAAAAAAAACAAAAAGTTTTCCGTTTTGTTTCTTTAGTGTCAACGATTATTGTTTTAATCTTCCGTTAGAGACACTAGATTGATTGAATAGAATTTTCTTCGTTGTATAATGATCGAAAGATATTAATGTGTTTTACGTTGTTAATATCCTTCACTCTACATTAGTTTGAGCATATGGCAGATGGTATAAATGTGTATATTCTTGTTATTTCGTTCTTTCTCTCTCCCTTTCTCTCTATGCAGATGTTAATCTTCGTAGATGTACAAAAAAGTTAAGCAAAAATATTTGTATATACTAAAAAATACAATATCTTAGAAATGAAAAACAATGAACATTCAATTAAAAGTCGATTGTAATTTTTTATTTTTATAAATGACGAATTATAGACGACAAAAAAAATAAAAATAAAACATAACAGTTAATACAAAATGATAAATTATTTTGTATACTGTTATTTAATATATTGTGAAATATATAAAAGTTTTTTTTCCCATTTTATTATCAACTGTTGTTTCAACATTTTATATCTTAAAAATTAAATATAATAAAATTTTGTTTCTACTATGATGATTAAAATTAATTTTGACATACGTTTTGAGCAGCTGGTATATAGTTCAAAAAATAGTATTGTTTAATTAGTAACATTAGTTTTTTCTGATCGTATTAGAATTAGTCATAATAGCAATGATAGATTTAAATATATCAATTTGATTATTAAATAGTATATTATAGTTTATTTTCAACAATTAGAATATAAAATTTTGACTTTTAAAATCTAACAATTTATGGCGCATAAAAAATTCGTTGGCGGTACTTATTGTTGCTTGGCTTGTACAAAAAAAAAACAACAACAACAATCATAATCTATCCGAAACGTAAATGAAAATAAAAATAAATTTTATTCTCTATCTTCTCAATGTAATTAATTGAAAATTTAAAAAAATATAACAACGACGAATTTCAATTTTAATCTAATCCATACAAAATTTTTTCTACATCCCCCTCCACCACCCATGTTTACATTACTGGTAGGAACAAATTGTTCATAAAGTCAGATTTATTGCACAAATTCTTTTTTTTTCTTTTTCTTATGCTTGCTCATTAAATAAAGTTAATATTATTCTTATTTTTTTTTTGTTTTCATTTTAGCCATTTCCTATATCTATGCAACACTCATCGGGTTCACCGAATAATAATTCATCGACTGTATGTTTAACAAATTTACAAGCACCATCAAAAATTGAACATAAATGTGAACCGTTAGATTCTTATTCTTATACAGCCGATGAATCAGCCATTGCAGATTTTATGGCCGTTTTACCACAATTAGATCCAGGTGATATAAATAGTTCAACAAGTAATACAAACAATTAACGACACTGAAAGAGAGCAGAATGTACCATTTAAAACATAAATCATCATCATCATTTTTTTCTCACCTATGCAGCTTTCTTACCAGTTTTTGTTCGATAGAATGATACATCTAGTCTCTAG